TCTTGTCATTCAAATAGCTAAGACTCATCAGAAAAGTGACAAGGTTTGGATGTTTTCGGTGGCTTTCGGACATTATGTTCTCTGAACAGTATCATGACTGACAGATATAACCTAGAAAGTCGGTTTATAGTGGCTCTGACTGATGGCTTTGTTATGCAAGCAGGGTGGGAACAAAAGGGGCTTTAAGCCTCAGGATTTATTTTGCCATCTAAAAATAAATCAAAGATGCTACTTTTCTCTCTTTGAGTGGGATGACTGAGTTGCTGAAGTTAAGCTAATGGACATTTAGAATTATGTTTTAATCCATTATCGGAAGACCCATTACAAAAAAACAGGATGAAGATTTGGCTGTTTGGGCTGATGGGATAACTGCATTGATGTACTCGGCCATCTTTCTAATGTAATTTTCCCACTCTGCTTGAGTAGGTTAAATATGTAGTAAATCATGTCTCTCTCTCTCTGTAAGATGTATCTAGTGAAATTATGTTTCTCAGACATACTGTTACAATTACCTTTTCTAAATTTGTTGTTATGCAAATTAATGCAATCAGTGTAAAGTTATTTTTGCAACACACCTTCCAACCACTGGACACCATTTCCCTTTCTGACCCACAGCTTCTATAATATACTGACATAGTGTTTGAGAGCTTTTTGCTTTTTCCCTAAAAATCTATTTTTTTTTTATTTTTTACATGGGCCAGTTTTAAGACTGCTTATTCCTTTAAGATTGTCCTGTAAATTTAAGATTATTTTGTGATCTTAAATACTAAAGCAATGAATGAGTAGTTAATTTACATTTTTTGGGTGGTTTTTTGTTTGTTTCTTGTAAAGAATGGCCTCAGAAAGGCAGCTCAAATGAAGAAAAACCTCTTGCTACCTGAGCCATATTTTTCTTCAGCTACTGTATGGGGAATGTATCTTCTCGTATTCTTAAGAACTGGTGCTTGCAGATCTCTTGTAATGAGCACTGTGCCCTTGAGTAACAGTCTGCAGAATTTGTCCTTAGAATTGGAACTGTATCCTTTAACTTTGGAAACAGTTTATTTGATTCTCCAGGACCATGTTTAGGTATATAAAGGTCATATAATGTGTGATTGACACTGTGGGAGAAGCCAAGTCTGAGTGTGGATGATTCTGTTACCACAGTGCTTTTTAATAGGCTACTACAAATATGATAATAACTCCTGGCTGTAAATTACAAGACAGAGAAGAACTACTGTATCCTATGTACTTTATTTTTTGTGTTACCTTCTCCAGCCACCATCCCGGCCTCTTGCTTTTGATGTTGAGCTTTAGTCTAATGGCCCTGTGCTAGCCAGACTGGGAGGCAGTTTTGTGGCTTTACCAGGCCAAAATGCATTGTGGTTTTTTTGTTTGTTTGTTTGTTTTGTTTTTTTTTCCCTGTCTTTCCAAGATTTCTTTCCATTTTCAGGATATTTAAAGCTTTTTGTTCAAATAAAATCCAGTGTCTCCTTGCCCTCTTTTCCTCTTTGATCCTGTATATGAACCAGTCTTGACAAAATTAGAGCATGAACAGCAGTTCTATTCCAGTGCTGGTACCTGGCATAAACTTGAAGGAGAAATAGATTTGACTTGTCAGGAGAAAAATTATTTTAAGGTGTCTCTGATGAGGGAAAGGAAGCTTTTATCAGAGTAGTTACTTGAGCATAACTATCCATATGGATGTTCTTATTCCAGAAATATCGCCTTGCTCTGGATGAAATAGTAATTTTTCCTATGTGTAGCTCATAACTGAATATAATATAAAATACAGTAAGCACATCCTGCCTCCTCCTAAGCTCATGCCACATGAAAATACTTGTCTCAATAAATCCATCCAGTTGCAGACCTGTCAGGAGTGTGCTGCCTTCTGGAGTGAGTTGTGGCCTCAGAGTCCTTTGCATAGCCACTGCATGCCACTTTTCCTTGCTTCTGCATTTGTTCCTTTAACTGTTGCACTGCAATGATATACTCCAAGGAGTGGAGTGGTTGGGATTCCCTTGTTCCTGCATTTCCTGTGATTCTTTTGCTGCCGCACAGCTGTATTTCCTGTTCCACTTATTGCTTCACAGCTCTGTTTCCCAGCAGGTCTCTTTGTGTCTACATGGGGCTCCAGCTTGGCTCTGACAGAAGCAATCATTCGCACTGACATGTTGCTCACTTGTCTTCAGCTCTGTGTTGCCATTAGATGGACAGTTGGCTGCATAGTCTGTGTTTGTAGTAGGAACCAAAAGTCTCAGGAATAATACAAATATCTGCTTCCTGTGATGTAGAAGCCAGCTGAGCATATGTGCAAGCTGACAGTAGTGTGGGAATTGTACTGCAGTGTGAAAGGAGATCACTATGTGTGGTGCCTGTCCTCAGGCAATGAGACACTTCATGTTCCATTCAGGGATCTTACTGGGTTTTATACACTTCTTTTTTTCTTTTTTAATGCTTATCCTCTATAAAGGGTGTTTAACTACAACCTGAACAGAGGTTGCAGGTTAGAAGAGATGTGTAAAAATCCTCTCTACACCCCAGGACCTTGGAGAATCTGTTAATTTTATGCGCATCAGACAGGTTTTGATGCTGCAGGAAAACATGCATGCTGTATGTTCTAGATCTCTTGTAGCCACTTCTCTCATGTCTTCCCTGTTAAACCATTCTATCTCTTCTTTCTCTATCTTCTTTTGAAAGTCTTATCTCTAAACAAAGGCATATCCATATTTGGTCCTGCATTTTATTGATACTGTTGGGTCCAAGCTCTGTGTGAGCAAAGCCTTGTGAACCAGTGAGCGGAAGGTGAGACAGTGATTGCATTTTTCAAAGCACTGTTTTAGCTGAATGTCAGAACAAATTATATTGGAGAGATTGTTTTCTCATTTAAAATGGCCTGGGAAACAGAATTTTTATTTGCCCTTCAATATGCTTAGCTTTAAACCAGTTTAAAATTATTTAAAGGTGTTTGTTGGTTTTTTTATACAAGATCATATTTACATGCAATTATTATTTGTAAACATAATGCCTTTCTTGAAATGCTAAGGTCTAGAGTGAAAAAGATGTGAAAGCCTCCATTCAGAATAGCACAAGCAGTGAATTGACTTGGAGTTGCAGAAAATGTTATTTATTGAACTTCCAGATTTTCTAGTTAGCTATTACTGAAGTGACAAGTCCATCTTGGTAATGCAGATGTTACTGTATATTCAGCTACCCAGATCATTACACTAAAATTACAAGCAATAATCTGTTTTGAGCAAGTTTAAGCCAAAATGCTTTCCATTTGGGCACAAAATACAGTTGATATTTTATTTTCATAGCAGTGATGCCTTGTGACTTGAATTGTGATTTTTATTTTTATATTTTTTTTAACAAAATTTTGATTTAGATAGGTCTGGCTTGAGGGCACTGCAGTAACCACCTCCAGTCAGCTGCTGCAGACGTGTTTTTGGAAGGTTCAAGTTTTTTAAATAGAGAATTATGAAAAAGGTTGTTAACAGAAACACAAAAACAGAACAATGAAAGTGTTCACTTAAAACTTAGAAAAACTACATCATAACCTAGACTTTATCATTTCAAAGTGGTTTGGTTTTTTTTCTTTTTAGAATATGCATGCCAAATGTCTTGTCTTTTTCAATGATTTGTAATATACATTTTATGACTGGAAACTTTTTGTACAACACACTTGAATAAATGTTTTGCATTTTATTGGTTTCCTTCTGTCTATTGCCCAACACACAGGTCATGTGGGCTGTTTGAGATTATTCATCCAAGGAAGATGTTACATTTGGAGAGAGGACACAAAGAGCTGATGTCTGTGCTCCTAACAGTGATCCAGCTGAATCACAGAGTGTGTTCCAGCTGGGATCGTGGGGTGTGTCCCAACAGGGATCATGGGATGTGCTCCAGAAGCAAATGAATGCTTTCCTTAAACGTGATGGAGTTCTGGTGCAACATGCTATCCTCTCTGATCAGTACCAAGAAAAGGAGGGGGAAGAAAATTAGGAGCTGGAGCAGATAAACCTTCCCTTGCTTTCTCATCACCACTGCAGTGAAGGGGGTTTTCGATTTAACCTGCTTGATGCTAAATAAGAACGAGAGCAGATACCATCCCTGGCAGGGATGGATTCTTAGGGATGGACAGAAGCATTGCCATGAGCTGACACATTTGCCAGCCTGCTTTTGAGTCCATACCCATTTTAAAATAATATCTTAGGTGGCTGCCCCATCCTTAGCACTAGCTGATGATGCTTCTGTAGGGTGGTAGGAGTGGCTTCTGTTTGAAGTGGGCAGATCCAAAGACAGGACAATATGGTTTGCAATACTCTTGAGTGTGGACTCGGGCTAGTGAAGATGAGCAGTTTTGGCTTTAGTTCTGCTGTTGTACCCAGTAATCCCCTCCTATCATGCAATCTCCTACCTGCACATCACATCTCACCCATGAAAAAGAACTTCGTAGTGTTGTCCACTCCCGTTTACTTCTACCTCGTCTCACAGCGTTCTTTCTTGATGAAGGAAGTGTAATGGAGTTGAGGCAAGCTTTGAGGGCATGGGCCTCTCACCCGAGTCAGGTAAGGCAGAGGGAAGCCTCGAAGAACAGAAGGATGAATTCCAGAGAGAACCCAAAGGGCAGTTTCTCTCTGCGGCGATCCCAGGAGAGCTGGTGTTTCACTACGGGGCGTAGCTGGGCAGCGTTTGTGTCTGGTGATCCCGGTTTAAAGCCCCTTCCCGTTGCCTCAGTTCGTGGGGCTGCGCTAAACCCTGGTACTCCAACGCTGTTATCTGACAGGGGCCCGGCTCGGCCTCGGGGAGTCCCTTGGGAGCTCGCTCGGGGCCGCCTCCTCCGCGGTCGGCGGTGACACCAGCGCTCGGGGACACGGGCCACGAGCGGCGGCGGGACGGGCACCCCTGGGCCGGGGACGGCGTGGACCGGCCCCGCTGAGGCGGCCCGCGGAGGGGAGCGTCGCGCTCAGTCCCGCCCGGCGCGGAGGCGGAGGCGGCGCGGGGCCCGCTGGGAACCGCAGTCCCGGACGCCGCCATTTCTCCCTCCGGTAGCGCAGGGGCCCCGGCCGCGGTGACTCTGGGCATGGAGAGCGGCTTCGGCTCCGACTTCGGCTCCGGAGGAGGCGGCGGGGGGAAGCTGGACCCCGGGCTCATCATGGAGCAGGTGAAAGTGCAGATCGCCGTGGCCAACGCACAGGAGCTCTTGCAGGTCAGAAAGGGCGGCGGGGCCGGGGCCGGTCCCAGTGCGGGTCGCGGGTGACGGCCAGGCCGCCTCGCTCCCCTTGCAGCAGGGGCGGCGGCTGCGGCCGGAGCCCTCGGGCCGCGGTCCCGCTCACGGGCTCTTCTCCGCAGCGGATGACGGACAAGTGCTTTCGGAAGTGCATCGGGAAGCCAGGCGGCGCCCTGGACAACTCCGAGCAGGTGAGGACGGGCGGGAGAACTGGGGACCCGCGGGCCCCTAGCCCGGGGCTGCCTCTGAGGCTCTGTGTCCCGCAGAAGTGCATCGCCATGTGCATGGACCGGTACATGGACTCCTGGAACACAGTTTCGCGAGCCTACAATTCTCGTCTGCAGCGGGAGAGAGCCAATATGTGACGCCAGCCAGCCTCCAGGCCGAGAAGGGACCATGTGGGGAAGGGACGATCGGCCAGTCCAGGTGGTTAGGGGTGAATCCTGCAGCCTTCTCAGCCCCTGCTGTGGCAGAGCAATAAAACCTCGCTGAACCTTTTGCATCCATTGGCTTTTATTAGCACCAACTCCAGGAGAGAGTGATTTTTTATTTTTTTTCCCATGAGCTGCTTGGTTTACTTCTTGCCCTTCCCAAGTGTCCAGACTGGCCCAAGGCATTGTATCGATGGATAAATCCCTGCTGTAAAGGTTGCAACAGGCAGGGAGCCTTCTGTGGAAAACAAGGGCTAAGCCAAGCCAGCAACACAGTACCCTTGCTCAGGATTCCAGCATGGACCCATCCATAAGGTAGTCCCTTTTCATTAGTGGAAAGCTGCTAGAATATTATCCACAAGCCACCTTGGCTCTTTCATCCTTTATATCTGTGTAGCACTATCTGGGGCTATCTTTGGGCTCATAGGCTTTGACTTGGAGTGCTGGGGAGAAGGACAGCCTCACAAATAGTTGTATGAGCACAGCTAGGGATGAACAGGGTTGGGAAGTGCTTACATTCTTTATAGAATAAAGTGTGTTGTGTGGCTGTGATACTCTCTAGTTTCTGCTTTGGCTCTGGCACAGGTGTTCCAACTTGGAGCTTACATCCTAAGCATAATTTTTTTGTTGGAGGAGCATGTCTGCAATAGGGGATGTGGGTCTGCTTTGGGGCACAACTCTCTATTGTTTTCTGCTTACACACTGCTCCTGAAATGGTGGGTTCATGCTGCATGGTCAGCAGTGGATACAACAGCTGGAAGAGGAGAGTGTTGGAGACTAACAGTGCCCATCTAGTGAGTTTTTTTAAATCCTTTCTTTTGAAGCTCTTCTGTATTTTATGAAAAATTTCATAGTTTGCTGGACACAGGGACAGATGGGAAGAATTACATGTTCATACCTGCTCAATGTCCTCATTGAGAGTGATGTGATAGAACCTAAAGTGTTCTGACATAACGTAAACTACAAGGAGTTATTTGGGTATTTGGTCTTACTGAAACTGGAGTTTCCAGACTGTCAGAATGACTACTTGAAAATAAAGTGCTTTCAGACATGTTTGCTTATGGGGGCTTTTTACTTTTCTTTATGGCTGTGTAAATTTTTTGGCACTGGATGTGCAGCAGTCCCATTTCATCCTACAGGTGTTCCAGCCATAAATCTGAACCCATCTGAAACTGAGCCATGCCTGGAAGCCAGGTTTTCCACCTAGCTGGTGCTCTGTCTGGGAGAGTTGTGGATCTTGCTGCCAACTGGGTTGGGATGGAAGAAACCTCTTGCAATGCCCAGATGCAGAGCTTAATGCACCAAAAATGAGGAAGAGGTTAGGGGTATGAAAAGGTATGATATATATAGTTCAGTTTTGGTGGCTGAATCAATGGGGATGTGTCTAGGTCTGCTCTGCCAAAGTCTCAGCACATGATCTTTGCTGCAGTTCTTTGCTTGTGAACAGTTGTCTATGTGTCTTATGCTGGCTGGTGGGACCTGACAAGAATACTTTACACCACTATCTCAGCACTTTAAATTTTTCCCACCTAGCTTACCCAGACAGTGGTTTGTGTGGTCATGCCTTAATCTTTCCTAGTTTAATCACCTGTTACCTAATGCAAAAGGAGCTGCAGAGGGGTGTGTGAGAAGCCCCTCCTAGTACTCTAGTATGGGTGAGGGCCTGTGCAGTCTGAACTCCCAAGTGCTCTAGTCCTGCGTTCTCTTGGGATCAAATGGTGAGCCAGGAAGTCATCACTGAACTCTCAAGTACCATGCACTAATTGGAAACAGCATCATACCTTTCCCAAAAGCCACTGCACAGCACAACAGTTCCATCAAGTTACTGTGGTCTGAAGCTTCTGCAAGGGCATAACTTTGGGCTGGGGCAAAGGTCATGAGTCTGTTGGCTTGGCTTTGAATGTCAGTTCATAGGCAGAGGTCAGCCAAACTCCATGAATCTTTGGCAGATGTTTCTGACACCCATCCAACTACAAAGGTCATGTTTTAATGCACAGTATGTTTGGCCAGATGGGACAGGCTTCATTTATTTATAGAAAATATCTAGAATTTTGTACCTTTCTATGCAAAGTAGTTATCAAATGCCTTGGTGTAACAACCAGCAGGTCACACAACACTGCCATTTGCTTAATACCTGCAAGGCCATCTTCACCCCTTTGCAACATCAGGACAGTACAGTACATGTACAGTAGCTGAGCGGTTAGTGCATCCTCTGGCAGTTATTCCTCTCATTCATCGCCTTCCCTGAGTGGTGAAATGTAGTTTCAGAGCTTCAGGTTCTGTACAATCCAGCCCTGGACAGCTGTGACTTTGGTGTAGACGCCAGGAAAATATGGCCTGGCACAGCCATAGCCCCAGCTTGTGATTCCTGCTAGAAACCACTTCCCTGAAGGTTCTTTACATGCCAGGGGCCCACCTGCATCACCCTGCAGAGAGAGGAAAAGGATCCAGTATCAAGCCACAGGAAGTGCAGCTCCCCCTGCTGTGAAATGTCCATCTCTCTGGGCATGGGCATTTGCTGTCCTGTTCCCCACTCCCCCAGGAGCCCCATTCCAAGCTGGATGACTGCTCAGTGATGTACCTGCATGAACAATCTGGGGCTGGGGTTCTAGAACATAGAAGAGTGTGTTTGAAGGTACAGTAGCAACATGGAACAGGCTCCATGTGGTCTCTTGCTTAGCACTACCTCTCTGTGTATTTCCCTGACCTGTCACAGGTTGGTGGGGCAAGCAGCATGAGGTGTATGCAGGATGAACATGGATAAAAGCAGCAGCCAGTTAATGGATGGACAGACAGCTGAGCTAGGGGAAGCAGGGCAGGGCCCTCCTGAGAGAATATAGTCTAGGGACTTGGCAGGAGCTTGCTCTGTTCTAGCCACAGTGTTTTGCTGCTATTGCACTCACTGAACAGCTGTCGACGGTGCCCTGTGGGAAACCAGCACACAGCATCCTGCTGCTGATCTGGACAGGGTAAAACTTTTTGCAAGCCTGGTCTCCAATCATGTTCACTGCCGCTTTTTGCAGATGCTTTGACATGAGACCTGAGGAGATAAGTATTGCTGTTAGCTGGGTAAAGAGCACATGAGAAACAGCAGCATGTGAAGAAATGGGGTCTCTGCAGCTTTACTTGCTTGCCAGAGGGAGGGACCTGCTCTGGGAAAGTGAGTCACGCCTGGTTCAGCAGAGCAAACACAGGAAGGTCACTTGGGTGTGTAGTTTGTCAGGCAGCTTGGCTGACAAGATACAAATGGTATTGGGGTGGTTCTTGTACTGCAGGAGCACAGCTGGAGCAGCTGCTATAGGGGTGGAAAGCACAGTGGCTGGCATGTAGAAAGGTTGGGAAGGCTCCAAGAGGGCAAAGATGTGATAAAGAGGAGGAGTAGTGCACATGGTAGCTGGGGAGGAGATGATGGTGACACCAGGCCTTGCCCAGCTTGGTATTCTCTGCAGCGTATGGCTGGGATGGGAGTGCTTGAGGTGGTGGTATGGGAGCTGTAGATGTGTTGAAGTGTAAGTAGCAGTGAACTTGGCCATCATGGATGTGGTAGGGCCCTCTCAGCCAGTACCTCCTTCCTTTGTGGAGCCCCAGCCTGTGATGAAGCATCTGGCCCCTTCATGGAAGATGTGAGAATTGTCTGGGAGACATATTGGTCTGATGGTGCTGCTGAACTTGACAGGTGTGCTCAGTTCCAGTAGTGCCACATCATAGTCTAGGCTGTAGACGTTGTAAAAAGGGTGTTTGTAGATACGGAATATTTTCTCCATTTTGCCATTGATGCCACTCAGGAAGGGTGTTCCTAGAAAGGCCACCCACATTTTGGGGTCACTGTAACTGCAGAAAGACAGCAAACCTGCCTGTTAGGAGCATAGTCTCACAAGGAGGGCCATCCCTCCACTTGTGGGGCTGGCCACAACTTGGGAGGTCAGGACCCCTGTCTCCAGAACAGTGGGTGTACTCAGGCTGTGTTCCACCCATTCCTCTTCCCACTTACCTGCAGGGGCATTTCTCTGATAAGGAGTGTGTGCTTCCTGTGGGGCATATCATCCCAGCCAGGGTGCTGGACAGCGAGGGAGGGGAAGGGTAAGTTGGCTGATGGGACTGAGGCAAGAGCCAGCTGCCTTAACTAGCTCATCTTAGACTTACATGTCAAAGCAGTGAGCTGCAGAGAGCAGCCACCGGTCAGCAATGAGAACAGCCCCACACTTGTGCTCCTTCCGCCGAAGCCACAGACTGACTTGCCAGGGCCATTCTCCTTGGGCTGCGCTGCTACCACCCACAATCTTGCTGAAGGCCAGAGCAGTTGTTAGGCCACAGTCTGGAACAGAGGAAGAAGCACTGTGGGTTTAAGTAACCATAAATGAAAGGAATGACTGCCTGCCTTCCATAACCTGTGCTGTGGGAAAACCTTCATGTACACAGGACAGTAGGATCTGGTGAATTCACTTCACCCAGCTGAGGCAAGGCTTGACAGAAGGGTATATTTTGCAGACTTGTTAATACAGATCACACCTTCCAAGGATGTGGTATTTGAGGAGCACAAGTGGATGGGCTGTCTGAGCTATCAAATGGCAAGGAATGTGGAGCCCAAAGTGCAGTCCCAGGGATGACAAGACACTTTCTGGGCTGCCATGTTGTGCAGAGCTGTCTTGCCACCTTGAGCTCCCAGACTGACTAGCCAAAAGGCCTGTATGTTGGGAAATGGGTTCTAATGTCTGTAGCAGAGTAGAAGAGGCCCCACTTTCTGGCAGTAAATTTGGATCTCGCTCATCTAGCTTTATCATGTTTTAGGCTCTGGCAGCGCAAGTACAATCTGTGCCACAGTGGGCTGGCCTAGACCCCCAGTGTCTGGGCCCAAGACAACTAGTGTGAATATGGTGGTGCTGGGGGTTAGGTGTCCTTCTTTTAGTTCTGGCCCACCTGTGGAATTTTTACCCATTAGTTGCGGGGAAAACCTGACTGCAGGTACTTGGTGGGTGCTTGAGAAACACAAAGTGTTCGGCTGGGCCAAGGGGGGCAGGAAAAGGGGAGGGTGGGGACAATTTGGCGGCTTCTTCAGCTTCAGAGAAGGACATTTTGCTGGGAGCTGTTGCTGTGGAGAGAAGGGAATTCGCCATCACCCAGGCAGAGCTGCTGCTGCTTCTTCTCCTTCCCTCTTCGTTGATGGCCTCACACCCCCTGTCCTGCCGGGACGTGTGGCAGTGCCAGCCACCACCATGGAGCTGCTGATCCACCTCATCCACCGGCCCAGGATCTCTGCTCATCCCTGCTGTTCCAGCTGAGTGTTCCTCAGAGTCCTGCAGGAGCACCGGGACTGCCCGAGGGGGTTTGTGAAAACAAAGCCTCTCCTCCATCCCTTCCCCTCTCAGCCGAGAAAGCTGTCACAGGGCCCCTGGTTCTGTTTTCTTGCTGTAGTTATTGTTGTTTGTGTGCCTCGTTATACACTCTAGTAAAGAACTGTTATTCCTATCCCCAGATCTCTGTCTGAGAGCTCCTTGATTTCAAAATTATAATAATTCAGAGGGAGGGGGTCTACATTTTCATTCCAAGGCAGGCTCCTGCCTTCTCTAGCAGACACCTGTCTTCCAAAACCAAGACAGGTGGGTACCACTGTGGAGTCCAGGTCATGTAGAGCACAGCTGGCAGCAGCCACAGGCTACAGAGGAGAACTCACCACAGTTGCGCTCATCGAAACCATTGCTGCAGTCCACAACACCATCACATTCAGGATTTTCTTTTCCAATACAGACCTTGCTGGAACACTTGAAAGTGAGGCTGGTACAAGGCACCACTGGAAGGCAATAACCCATGGCCTGCTCAGTACCCTCTGTGCTGGAGGCCTCCTGCCAATATGTCAATGCATGAGTTATCAGTTTTACCTGGGGTTTGGGTAGGCTTCTCAGTCTCAGTTGTTCTCAGAGCTGTGGAAGTTTCATTCATGGTTCTGTTCATCTTTGTCTCCAGGGTGGTTCTGCTGGTTGGACTTGCAGCCATTGTGCTGGGCTGGATAAAAATGGCCATGGCAGAAGTTCTAGGGATGGCTGAACTGGAAGGTGTGCTTGTGCCATCACTGGGCAACTGGGAGATGGTGTCCAGGATCCAGTCTGTGAATTTGGTAATTCTGGAGTACACACCAGGTCTCATAGCCTGGGCACAGCCAAATCCCCAGCTCACGATGCCGGCAAGGTAAAACACTCCCGGGGTCACCTCACAGGCCAAGGGCCCACCTGAATCTCCCTGTGGAAGAAGCAAGGCAATGGCTGCTCAGTCCAATCAGGTCTGCCCCTCAGACACACCAGGATTTAACTACCCCCAACTCTTCTTTCTTCAGTCTTGTGGGTCTGTCTGCTGTCATAGAATGTGTCTGCAGGGCATGAGCTTGCAGAAGTTGAAGCTAGGGTCAGTGGCTCAACCTGGCTTCTGTCAGTACCATTCCACAGCTGCCACCAACTGCCACTGACTCACTGCCACAGGAGGAGACCTGCTTCATCCAGGATTTGTCTGGCCAGACAGAGTGGTAGAATGTTGGTTTAAGTAATTCTCAACTTGGTGGAGCTTTATTTACTTTTCTAAATTTCCAAAGTAGTGGGTTAGGGTTTTTGTGCTCAAGTATATGTGAATTACACAGCTGGATTACAGCAGCTCACTAAATATTTCACAGGCATCTGCTGAAGGCAGAGTTAGCCCAGCTTTCTAGAACAATCTACAGAGTAGAGAAATCCCACACTTTTACCTGACATGAGTCTACCATCCCCTCCATGAAGCCAGCACAGATCATTCGGTCAGTGAGGGAGAAGTTGTAGAGGAAGTTGCAGGTGTTCTGTTCTATGATGCCCACAGAGGCTTTCTGCAGGATCTTGGGCTTGGTGTCTGCATGAAAAGTATGGAATTAGTGAGTGCAGCAGAAGGAGGGAACTAGTGGCTTTTAGACTCACTGAACACATATTTTAGGAAAACAGGCTCTAATCCCACATGGGAATTGAGTCCTACATAACCTGTTTTCTCTGCAGCGTTGAAGCTTGTTGCTCACCCCAGGGTGCAGTTTTGTGTCTGTGCTAAGGATTCTGCACATAGTTTGTGTCCCATGCTCCTGAGAATGTAGGCTTCTTGTGAGCTGGACTTCTTCAGTAGCACACATGTCACTCAGGCCTTCTCCTTATAGTGGGATCTTTGCTTATGTTCATTGCTTGGAACATTTCTGTGACTGAGAGTGGCTGCTGTGGCTGACATACCATCCTGCCAGAGCTGCAGCCGGCTCTGAGGCAAGCACCTGACACTTGCTTAGCATGGTAAAGCTACTAAGGGCAGTCCAGCAGGTTTCTCCTGGTTCCCACCAAGGTGCTCTCTCAATTTTCTTCTTTGCTGGTGACTCCTAGGTAACTGTTGCTTAAGGCAGTGCTCTGTGTGCCTTTATTCTTGCTTATTATTGTGTTTCTGTCAGTTCATGACTGTCCCTGTTACTGACCCCTGTCCTATACATTCCCAGGACTGTGGGTCACAGTGGCATGGGTTTTGCTGCTCAGGGTATCACTGCTCTAAGGCAAATCAGCAGGTAAAGCATTGCTGCTTACCGTTCCCTTCCTGCAGGTCACCCCATCCAGAAATGAGGCATTTCTTGCCAACAGGAAACTTCTGCACAGCAAGTGGGAGGCACACTGGCTGTATGTATTTGTTGAAGACAAGAGGTCTTGCCAGTTCAAGTACAGCCACATCGAAGTCCAGAATCATGGGGTTGAAGAGGGGATGTGGGACCACTCTTTTTACACTGACTTTCACTGCATTCTCATCTGTTCCATTTAGGGATGTTGTTCCCACATAGGCTTCGATCTCTTCTGGCATTGTCCTGCAAATACATAAACCTGAGAATGCATACTCACACACTTATGCCTGGCATGAATTCTGACATCGAAATTGCATACAGCTTTACATGATCAGCATGCAGCAAAGCAGCCCTGCTAATTCAGGCCCAAAGAATGTTTCCAGCAGTGGCACCTGTTGGATATTACCTGAAGAGCAAATAAACATGTAATAATAATTCTCTCTTCACCTCCAGAAATTTGTCATTTCAGGAGTGTTCTGGCACACAGGTGCCAGACCAGGTCCAGTGGTGGTGTTGACCTGTATCCAGTAGGTCGTGCTGGATTTTTTGGTTTTATTTGGATTTTTCTAAAGTTGTGCTTTATTCATTTTCTTTTTTAACCCCAGGTGAATTTTTAATATTCAGTTTAATGAAATTTATTTTGAAAAACTGCTTCCTTTTGATTGTTTTCCATTGGTGATTATTTGGTATCTTAAAAAGACAGGCAAAAGGCATTCCCTAAACACTTTATACCTTTCATTATTGTACAGTCCCAACAAACACTGCCTCTCCATTAGATTTTTTCCCCCAGGACTAGTCTGGTCTATTTTGTTGTGCTTGTTATGATGCTGCTCCACACCCAGCTCATCCCTGAGCCTTGTTTGCACTTTCACACAGTGTTACTCTTGCCCTCCCTGTGATGTTGCAGCAGTCGGTGTGCTGTGCATTACCAGCAACATCCCTCTTTTCTCCTTTGTCTCTTGCTGCATTCCTGTGCTCATTAACTGCCCCTGCCACAAGACCACTGCTCTCAGGACAATATCCACATGTTTCTGACCTCTTGTTTTGAATTGCAACAGCTGATGGAGACTCATCCTCATTCACAGACAGACACTGCTGGTTTTGCTGTGTACCTCATTTCACATTTGTCTACCTTCCGTTTCACTTGCTCCTTTATTGCCCAGATGTTTAATGCATGAGGTTGTCTTAAAATCCTTCAGAGTTTAAGGTTAAGTTTATAAAGAAACTCTCTTGTGACACCTTCTTCCACTCCTTTTAGATGTGTTGTCCTTGCTCCCTGCTCGGGCTGCTTTAACCTTTCTTTACCTCATTCCAACCTCCCCACAAACTCCTTTTTTCTATGAATTTCTAGTTATAGCAAAAATTAATGTCCAACATGTGTTCTTGATTTCCATTTCTTGACTCCAGTGCCACACTGTGGACTTGGCTACCCAGCTCTGTGCTGCTGGGCAGGTGAGCTGGAGCAGGGGCAGGGATGGGCTCTTACTCATTGAAGCAGTGAGCTGCTGACAGCAGCCAGCGGTCCCCAATGATGGTGGCTCCACAGAAATGTCTTGAATCTTCTTTCAGGCTGACTTGCCAAGGGATCTCTCCTCTGGAAGCATCTGTTCCTCCCACAATCTTGCTGGGTGTAGAGAACCCAGGCTGTCCTCCACACTCTGAACAAAAGTCAAAGCATGACTTGTGAGTATTCCTAGCAGTAGACAAGCAAGGAGAGACTTTGCTCTCTCTAACCAGTAAATCTTAGCAAGGGCAGGCTAGGGCTGAGGTGTGAGACATCTACCCAAGCCCTGCCAGCTGACAGTGGCAGTGCCTGATAGTAGCCATGTACAGCTGGACTTTCACAAAAACTGCTGTTATGCATCTTGCTCTTAGCAAATAATGAATCCTGGGCCTTTCTTGAAGGCAGAGTAATCAGTGGCTCTGTGCCTCTTAGCCTTGCCATTCCAGCTAAAATGTTTATTCCAGATTTAGAAAAATACCCTTCATCTGCGTCTTCTTGCAAAACTGCTGAGAGAGCTCCTTGGAGTGGACAGGTCATCCTGCAGACACCTGCATTCATTTCCTTCAGGGAGAGATGCATGGCTACTGTGAAGGGGCAGCCATCAGTTTTGAACTGCTGGGAGCAGTTAGGTGGCAAGCAAAATGTAAGTGATCAACAGGTTAAATACTGCTGTCAGTATTAATAAATACTGTCAGATGCTGCTGTGCCTTAGTGGCCTGTTCTAGGCCTGCCAGAGCAGAGCAGTTACACAGCAAGATTACACAGTCACAAAAGCAATGGCACACATGGAACTGCATGACTGAGTGACTTTGCCAGGCTGCTCTGGACTGAGCCAGGGCAGCCATATAGTGTCACTTGTGCCTTAGCACTTAGGCTAAGTTGTGTGGCTCACCCTACAAAAGGTCAGCTTAGGTCAGCAGAGGAACAAAACTGACATTTGGACCTGTACCTGCCATTCTGTCCACCAGGGTGCACCTGCTGTGGGTGCTCATACCTTGTGGTCTTGCTGCAGTCACTGGCCTGCTGGCAGCTGGGGCTGGTGAGGTGGTGGGAGTTGCTCCAGTGGTGGTGTTGACCTCTTCAGCACTGACCATGTTACTGTTAGTCCTGAAGTGTACTGGAGGAACAGTATAGGCTATGGAGGTAGGGAAGGCAGAAATAGCATCCAAGATCCAGTCTCTGAGTTTGGTAACACGTGTGTAAACCCCAGGGCGCCTGGCTTCAGCACATCCAATACCCCAACTCACAATTCCCGCCAGGAAGAATCTGCCAGATGGTTCTTGGCAAACCAGGGGCCCACCAGAGTCACCCTGCAAGAAAAGCCAGATGGTGAGCTCTCCCTGGGGATGCACTGAGCTTGCCCTGGCTAGACCTAGCATCCCTCTACCAGCTGGGGTCTCTGTCCCTAAGTATCCTAACTCACTTCGTATTTGCTTCAACTAGTGATGAGTAGAGCATCTCTGTGCTGGCCCTTAGGTGTTCCTCCATGTGGGCACACTGTCCTGCTATTACACAGAAGCCTTGTGCCCTTTATATGCCAGAAGAATAAAGGACACCATCCATAAAATCTAGGATTTAGCATTTCTAAGCATTTCTACTGCTTTGATTTGTTAAACCTCATAAAGGTTGATCCTAGCAGCCTGTACACAGCCAGATGATGGGTATTCACTGCCTGATACACAACCCAGGGAGACCACGTTAATGCTTGCATGAGGTTTTCTTGATTTGGTCTATGGTTCCTTGGTCAATTCTTGGTTATTGTGGGGCCCTGTGACTATCACTGATGGACATGTGGTGTCTGTGAAGCTGGTAATGCCTTCTGGGGATGAGATTGCTCTAGATCAGTAATGAATAACCAGATGGATTACATTCATCATCCAACCTTGAATCTTCAATTCTTGGCCCCTTCTCTGGTGTTTCTACTATATTTGATGCAGAAATATGAAGAGCTACTACCAGAAAAGTGCAGTCTTGTTTAGCTGGTTTCTGTTGGTTTGAACAGTCTTGCCAAGCCACAGAGACCAACCTGGAAATTACAGTCCTCCTCCCACATCGTTGCTCTCCTCTCTCCATACTATGAAAGGCAGGCCTGGCTGCAGCTGACCAGCTGCAGTTCCAGGATGGATAAAGGCTACCTGAAAAAACTACTCTGTTGTTCACCAAAAACGGTTGTGTATGTTTTAGTTTCCACTGCTGCCCTTTGCCCAGCTGGATTTTGATCTGAAGACCTGTGTGGAATATTGGTAGGGCCAGTCCTGATGACAGCTCAGGAAGAAGAGAAAAGTCAATTAGATTTGATCTAATTAATAGTTAATTAGCTGAAAGAGCCCCTTAAAAAACAGTGCCCTGCTCTAAACAGTAGGGCACATATCCTCATTTGTGTCTTCTGCAGTCACTGATTTCTGCTTGGGTATAATGCAGGGCCACAAACCTCCAGGAGAAACAATGACCATGGTGTCAGTTCTGCTTCTTGAAGTGTCACTTGGTGGATACTGGGAAGGAAAAGCCTTATGTGGGCAGGTGTGCTGTCTTCTCTGGGCAAAACTTACCTGGCAGGAGTCAACTTTCCCCTCCAGGTAGCCAGCACACATCATTCTGTCTGTGAGGACATGGCTGTAGAGACTGGAACATAGGTTTTGGTCTAGAAGCTCCACTGTTGCTTTCTGCAGGAAGTCAGGTTTCACCACTGAACAAGAAAGACACAATTGAGAGTTCAGTTCAGGGAGCCCTGCACAGGATCAGCAGCTCACCCCAGCCCACCCCAGCTGGCCAGAGCAAGTTCAGAGTTCCCTCCTCTGATGCTTTCTGTTTGGCTTACAGCCCACCATGTCTCCTCTGCTGCCTAACATGCTTTACTTACAGAAATCCTCCTTGAGGTAGCCCCAGCCAGAAATAAGGCACTTCTTGCTGGTAGGGAAGTGATGGCCAGCATCTGGCAGGCACACGGGCTGGATGTACTTAGTGAAAGTCACAGGTCTCTTCAGCTCCAGCACAGCCACATCATAGTCAGCTGTGTCAGCATTGTAAGAGGGGTGTGGGATGATCCGTGAAATGTCCATTTTCACTGCACTGCTGTCAGAGCCTCTGAGGGATGTGGTCCCAGTGTAAGCTGCCCACATGGCTGGGTCCTGAAACCTAGAGGAGAGACAGTGGGGGCCATGTGAACCTGCAGCCACAACATTGTCCTGCAAACCCAAGCTGCCTCCTGCCCATCCTGCCATCCACTCCAGGAGTGATGGAAACTCCTCATTCTCCCCATGGTGGGGCAGAGTGGTGCAGTGTGAGCTTGAGCAGATATGGCTGTTTTTGGAACAGGGATGGAGGGTGGATGGTGGTGTGACTAAAACTTACTCAGTAAAGCAGTGAGCAGCAGACACCAGCCACTTCTCTGTGAGGATCGCAGCCCCGCAGAAGTGCTCATTGTTCTCTCGTAGGCTGACTTGCCACGGGAACTCCCCTCTGGACGCCTCTGAGCCTCCAACTATCCTGCTGGCAGTCTGCATGGCAGGGCGACTCCCACAGTCTGAAAGGGAGGAGAAAGCCAGTGCATCAGGATCCTGCCATTGTACCCCAGCAACAGGCTCTTGGGGGCAAGTGGGAAAAGCTGCTTCGGTTTTGTGTGTGCTGCTGGCATATGCTCAAGCAGCAGGGTGGTACTTGGGATGTCACAGGGCAGCCTTTAACCTGCAGGCTTGGGAAGAACACTGAAAAGCACTGGGCCATCACAACATCCTCCCGAAAACTCTTCTGGAGCAAGAAACCATAGAGCAGCATAGTGCCTCCTTCCAGCAGCTCAGGGCCATGTGGCTCTTGTCCATTGTGCCAGCCCACCAGGAAGGTGGACCTTGCCACAACCCATCAAAGCTGATGGGACCAGGGCAAAATTTCCCTCATCCTGATGGAGCCATTAATTATTGGCTTGAGAAGTCATGTCATATCCTTGGCTCTCTTCAGTGCTTGAGAGCCAATGGTGTCCCACCTGTCAAGGTCTGCCAACAGTGGGTTGTGGCTGGTCTCTATGTCTAGGAGACCTGCTGTGGGAGATTCAGCACAACCCTTTCCATCAGAGGCATCAGCACAGCCTGTTTGGCTGTCATGTTCAGGGCTTTCTTTTCACATACTGGATGTTGGAGCGACTGCCTGTGCCTCAAGGGCAGCTCCCTGGGGACAGTAAGGCTTGAGTCACTCATGTCTTCTGCAGTCCACACAGCAACTCTCCTCTGGCTTCCCCAGGGACAACAACCACTGTATCCTTGTACCTCTGCTCCTTGGCTACCCCCAGGTCTGGGCAGGATAGTGCTGCAAGCAGAGCTGCAGCTTGTTTTGAGCTTGCAGGCCCCTGGGCCACCAGGCTATGAACAAAATGGGGCCCAAGCACCTTTTGTATCTGTATTCAGGCTGCTGGTGAAGATGAAGAGGAGGCTGCACAGTGCAGGGGGTTCTTCCTGCTGCCTGGCTCTTACCTGATTTCAGTCCAGGTCTGTGGGAAGAAACCTTGTTGGGACCTGGGACAAAGAGGAAGGAATCAGGATCAGCAGGGGCAGGGGAGCCCAGCCTCAGGTCCTGGAGCTGTGTTCCTGGGCTGGGGCTGCCACAGGCTTTTCTGCATCTTCCTCTCTTTCCTGGCCATCTCTTTGCCCACCTGTATCGAGGGTGAGGCACAGCCCAGGCCCCTGCTGAGGACCCTTGCTCTGCCACAGGGCAGGGGAGGAGCAGCTCCCTATTGCCCAGCAGGCTCTGGGGTGACTCCATGCGCAGAGAGAAATTCCCAAAAGCTGTGGCAGTGAGCTGCCTCTCAGGAGTAGACTGGGGCTGAAGCTATGCAAGACTGTTTGTCTAAAGCCAAGAGGACTCTCAGTACCTTCCACTTGGGCAGCACAAGTCTCCCAAAGATCCAGGGATCCTGCTGATTGTGGCAGAGGGTGCTGTGGGAGCTGCAGAGGAGCCCACACCTTCTTGTTTCCCAGGCTCATGGGTTTTTTTAAAATTGGCTGGACCTGGAATCCTATGTCACATGCAACTCCACAGAACGAAAGGAGAATTTCTTGTCAGGTGGTTTCAGAGAGTAATTTAAGTATGAGAAATAGCAACCTGAGCTGTAGTAATTGCTACAGTTCTGATATCTGCCTAAGGGCTGCTGTGCACAGGTGGGTACAGACAACCCCAGCCATTAACCTCCTGGAGCTTCATTCCCGGTCCCTCAGAGTGATTCCAGGTGCTGCAAGAAAAGCCAAAGCAGTTGCAATTTATGCTTTAAGTTCTGTCATTGCTGTGGGCTGCTCAAACTACTCTTACAGCACAGAGCAGCAGGACAGTATTAGTATTGGAGGGGTATTTGGGGCCCCCACAAATATCTGTTAAGCAGCAGCCAAGATGTAGGTTGGTTTCCGCTGCTGTCTGGTGAAGCTGGAGCATATGGGAGCCAGGCAGATAATTTTATTGGTTTGCTGGGTGCCTGGCAATACCCCCATTTCTAACACTGCTGCTGGGCATGAAGCCTTGAGTGGATGTGCAGAGCTAAAGCTCAGCAGTTTGTCTGAGACTAATAGTGGCTTAACTGTGTGACCTTGTTTGCCAGCAGCCCCAGCACAGGGCACCTTGCTCTGCCTGCCCGGCAGAGGTGGGAGGGCCATACCTGTGAGAGAAGCTGAGGAGATGGTCCCATAGGCAGCCAGGGAGAAAGCTTGCTTGTGCAGGGCAGCTGCCAGCCCATGCCTCAGAGCTTCCTCCTCCAAGATAGAGCTCAGGGGTTGGGAATCCTGGGGAGTGAAGAGCAGGCGGAAATGGACGATCACACCGGAATTTCCATTCCTACTGGGAGACAGAGAATTAAGGGGCACCTTGGCTTTATGATCAGTACAAGGGACAGGTTCCTGTGCTAGCTGTCTACAGGGAACTCAAAGGAAACAAATTTTATTCTTAATATTTTTATTCTTAACAATTGAAGGTTTCTCTGGAGATTCTCTGTGTTGAAGTGGTCATTTGAATTTTTTTTTTCCCTTTGGCCCAAAGCTGTAGTTGAACAAAATTGTTTTCCTCTGCCTTTCTGTCTGCATTTCCAGGTGAAAGAATCCAGAACACTGTTGCAATCCCAGATGAAAATCCAGCCTTGGCCAAAAAACAGTTTCTCTTTGTACTAGCTTTGAACAAGAGCACAGGTGTGAGTTCACCTTCCTGGTGAGGCTTGTTAGAATGCCCTGAAACATGAGCTGCAGGATCTGCAGTTAGCTGCCTACACTCACCTGTAGCCCAGGATAGTGCAACCAGTGCAACTCCAGTTCAGCTGGGAGTCCTGGAGACTGGATAGAAACTGCAAAGCAAAGAGTGATGGTCACACACTTGCTGGACCCCAAGGAGGTGGGAATAGATGATGCCTGGGATTTTGCTGGAATGGAGCTGTTGATGCATGGTCTCTTTTCTCTGTAAGCAGAAACACCCGTGTCCAGCTCATATGTAACCTTTCTCCTACTCTGGCTTTTAAGGGCGTGAGGTAGTGCATCCTTTTTTTATGCCTTATTTTGTTTGCAAGTAGGCCTGAACAATTTCCCACTCCATGAATGTCTCTCAGGGCCCTGACAGGGCCTCTTGAAGTGTGGTTCAGCCCCACAGTGTACTTTGTTGATGTTTAAGAAGTCCTAGTTTTCCTCCTGCCCTTGGCATACAGATTCTGCTGGTGCTGCCACTACAGTGTTTCACAAACGTTTTTCCAGAAGGCTCAGATCAACTCACCAGTCTTTCAAGAGCAGGTGTCAGCACCCTATAGTAGTCTGAGTTCTCCATCTGTAAGCTGCTGTTGAATGTGATTCCTTTCAGCTCCACTGTGTGCTCAAAGCTGGCCTCTCCTGTGGAATGACAGGCTGCCAGAAAGGGAAGGTGTCTGTCAGAAGCATCTTTCCTCACAGCTTTGCAACATGGATATCATCATGCCCTTCAAACCCCGTTTTTAGCAGCTTGACTGTCCCTGACCATCCCAGCTGCCTTGGGAGTGCCCCGTAACTGGACTGGGATAACCCTGCACATGTGTAGTAATAGCATTTTCCACTGAACTTGTTTGAACTTGAAAATAGTGGATTTTTGCCAAGCCTGAGACAGAAATTCATGAACAGATGGGTACAGCCAACAACCTAAGATTGGCTCTATCTGTGCAGGAACAGCCTTGGGAAAGTTCTTCTGGGTACTGAAGCTGATCCAGAAACTGACTGTACAGATGGGATCTGTCAGTCATGTCATGCTGGGTCCTCTCCAGGGTGCTGGCCTGAGGTGGCATCTGGCCATGGGGCAGCAGAAGCAACAGGAGGGAGGTGGAAGAGGGAAGGAAATGGTGGTCATGCTCTGGAGTGGGACAGTAAAACTGGCAGTGCTTAGTGGCTGCAAGTGGTCATGATAGGAAATGGTAGAGGCAGCAAGGTACAGTGACAAGAAATTTCAAAGTCACAGAGAGAGATTACAGGTCAGAATAATAGAATCATGGAATTGTTTAGGTTGGAAAAGACCTCTGAGATGGAGTCAAATCATTCCACCAGCACTGCCAAGGCCACGATTAACCCATGTCCCCTAATGGCACATCTACATGTTTCTTAAATCGCTGCAGGGATGGGGATTCCATCACTCCTCTGGGAAACCTGTGCCAGGGCTGGACAGCCCTTTCAGAGAAGAAACTTTCCCAATATCCAATCTTAAACTCTCCTGGGCCACTTGAGGCGTTTTCCTCTTCACAGTCCATGTTTCCTGGGAGCAAAGCCTGACCACCCACCTGGTTGCCCCCTTCCGTCAGGGAGTTTTTCCAGAAGGTCCCCCGTCAGCCTCCTTATCTCCAGGCTGAGCCCATCCAGCACCCCCAGTTGCTCCTGGTGCTTCAGCCCCTTCCCCAGCTCCATTTCCTTCTCTGGACACGCTCCAGCCCCTCAATGTCTTTCTTGTCATGAGGCACCTAAAACTGACCCCAGGATTCAAGGGGCCTCAGCAGTGTCCAGCACAGGAGGACAGTCACTGCCCTGGTCCTGATGGCCACACTATTGCTTCAGCAGATAAACATCCCACCCAGCTTGGGTTGTCTGTGAACTGACTGAGGTCCCTTCATCTAGACCATTAATAAAGATATTAAACAAGGCTGTCCCCAAAGTGCCCCTGAGGAGCACCACTGGTCACTAGTCTCCAGCTGGATGTGACTCCATTCAACACCACTCTCTGGGCCTGGTCATCCAGCTACCCATTGAAGAGCACACCCATCCAAGCCATAAGCAGACAGTTTCTTCAAGAAAATGTTTATGGGAAATGGTGTCAAAGGCTTTACTGAAGTTGAAACAGATTCAGACCCTTTCCCTCATCCACTGGACAGGTCATCTTGCCATAGAAAGACATCAGATTGGTCAAGCAGGAAAGGAATAGAGCATATGTATCATGAGACATTGAAGGTAAAGTGCTCCAAAGTGACATATTGAGAACATGAGCTGACTACAGCCCTTGTAGTTTTTGTGAATTGTGCAGAAAGATGTCTGCATTTTGTCTTCAGTGGGAGGAGTTTGAGGATTTTTGCTATAAGCAGTGCAGACCACTTGTTTTTTGGAGTTGATAAACTGAAAGAATGTCCCTGGCTGTACACTCACCGAGCAGGATCCCCAGGCAGAGGGCTGTTGCACTGCCCACCACAGCAGCAGCAGCGGTTACCTTCCAGCAGCAGGCCCCCAGTCTCCTTCTCTGGGTGCCTTGCCCTGTGTTTATCTGCTCCATGCTTTCTGAGCAGCTCTACAGATGGGCTCTGTGATTAAAAAGAAGAGGAGGAAAATGATAAGACTGGGATGAAATTTGCCCTGCCAGCTAAGGTTACCTCAGGAGCCCCAAAGAGTGCATTGCCCCAAGAAACGAAAGGGTAGATACACACTGTGTCCCCTGAATGTACCTCAGGCTGCAGTCAGGAGATTCAAGTTGTAGGACCTGGACTCATCAACCATAGTGGCTCCTCCCTGCCTGGTTCCCCTTCTCTGTCTTGTGGGCCTTGGAGGCCACCAGTGACTGGTGATGCCCATTGTGCTTGTGCTCACAATGGCCATGCCAGTGTGAGCATGAACCAGCCTCATGCCTCCATCTCCATGTTCTCCTCAGGCTCTGGATGAATGCTGAGCCAGTGTCCCAGCAGCACAGAACCTGCCTGGCAGCACCGTGTACCTGCTCTTCAGCAGGCAATAACCCAGGCCTGCTTAGCAGCAGGGTGCCAGGGTCCTACTGCCCACAGTGCCAGGGTGAACAGGTTCCTCAGCTCTTAGCACAGGCTGAGTAGCTAGGGGCTTTGCATTTTGGCTTGCTCCTTCTGCCTTAGACATCACCCCTCATAAAGATCCTAAACCCAGGCAGTGTCACTAGAGGATGCCTTGGTGCTGCTCAGGAGTCATGGAGCTACAGTAATAGGTAGAACAGTTGAGCTGTAAAGTTCAACATTTATGTCAGAGTAATCTTATAGGTCTGCAAACACAACTGTACTACAGTCGCATCCTTAAACATGAAACTTCAGTCTGAATAGATAGCTGTGGAATGAGACCTGCCTGGAACTCTGGCTCATGAATGGGCCGGAGCTAATTGGCACTGAATACTTCAGAAATCATTATCTGCTCCTGCTGGACCATTCTGACCTGGCTATGGAAGTCTTGGCATTAGGCTACTTATATCCCCAAGGTGTGTGTTATATGCATTAAAACTCTTTAAGTAATAAAGAGTACTTTATGAGGCATCCTGTAGTTTCTGAGGCAGATTCCAGGGTGAGGTTTCATATAGCCCAATGCTATTCCACATTTTTTGCAGGAATTCTGGAGGAATTATAAAATCACAGTGGGTGGCAAAGCCCACTACAGCATTTAGATGAGAGCTCTCAATGCCTAGTAATGAAGAGCAATTAATATGTCCTTTGATTACAGCTTTTCTGCTACCCTAGATTCTCCTTCCCTGTGGCCAACATTGGCACTGATGCTTCCTGTATTTTACCTCAACTGGTCCTGCATCAGAAGCAAAGCCCCTTCCTGTCGACTTTCCTGCCTCTACCTTTTCCTGGCCTTTACTAGGCTGGTTTCAGTATGTCAATGCATTCCATGCACTGAAGATGCCCAGGTGGGATATGGTGCTCCAAGTGTGAATTAAAAAATGCCAAAAATATAAAGAATATGTATTTGTTTTTTGTTTGTTTGGTTTTTGTTTTTTCTCTGCAGTCTTGGTAGAACAAGACAGACTATATTTGCACATCATCAACAATTGGGTATTACAAGGAATGAAACCAGCCTGTAATATCCATAGTTATTACTTCATTCAGACAGGTTAGTGCCTGCAACAAGCCTGATGAGACAAGGAGGGACACTGATTTCCTGTGGTCCTAAAATGTATTAAATTACTGTATTAATATTTCCCCACATAGGCAGGAAGAAGACACACAATCCTTCTGTTCAAACTGGCAGGCTGAAGTTGTCTCAGGCAATTTGTGTGGTTAGAGTGGAAATCCACAGAAGTCCAACCTTCTTGGCCAAGGGTCCAGAGCTCCTCAGCTTCAGAATGAGTTTTTTGAGAACTGTTGGGGAAACTCAGATTTACAGGAGACACCAGAAAAGCCTTGGTTAGGCACAATCACCTCTCAAACTTACTCTGTCTTGATATCAACAGCATCAAGAGTATAAAACCCACACAGCTCTTCCTTCCTCAGTCAAAAGTCTGTTCTGCCGAGGCACATCTCACCTGGTCACTTCCTATCCACTCACACGGTGCTGTGAGAGGTTGGGCTGCCACAGCAGCAATTCCCTACTGCTGTAAATCAGACTGTGACTTCAGAGAAGCTGCAGAGGAACAGCCTTTTCTAATGTAAATGCATTCAGCAATGAAAGGAAGAGGGGAGGATAGGGACACAGGGAGAAGCAGCTCCCTGTTTCAGAAGAGCTTTTCAGTGTTTTCCAAGAGGCGTCAGCAGCTCTTTAAACCAAAGCTTCTAGATAAGAGATTGTAGAAGGTCACTTCTTTGTGAGGCAACAGACTGAGAAAGGGGAGAGGAAGGGAGAGTCTGTCCAAAATGCCTCCTTTTTTTAGCAGACATCCAAATATTCTTTTTCAGCTGTAACTGAGCCTGGCACAGATCGGCACTGTGGCCCCTGGGTTCTGCTAACAATATCTCTGACAATTCAGCTCTGGCTAAAGGGAGACAAGTAGGGAACACAAGTCCTTGTGGCCTGAATACATACAGATGAGGAATCTCTCCTTCCCTCTTTCAGTAGGTTTTGGAGTCACTGTCCCTCTTGCAGTGTGCTGAATGTGGGCACTCAGAAATCTAGTTCAGGTGTGCTGACCAGTGCAACAGTGGATTTCAATGGACCTCAAAGGTAGGACAAATGCATCTGAGAAAAAAAAACAAACATTGCAGATAAAATTGGCTCTGGCTTATTTTTTTGACAATACAATCTTAGTTGCATGTAAAAGTCATACTAAAATAAAAGGTACTTGGAACCCTAGAAAGAAGTTTGTATTAGTGATTGCAGAGGCATTTTAACTGGAAAAAATAGACTATTTAGAGAGAGTGAAACTTTATACTTCCCAAAACAATCAAAACTTGTCTTTGCTCTCCCTTTTAGCATAAGGAAAGTTTATTTTCTTTTGGTGTCAGTGGTGTGAGTTAAAAAAGAATTAAAAGGACATGTAAATGGAAAACCCATTTTGCAAGAGTAAAATAGAGATTGCAATTTTTTTTTTCCTGAAAGAGAATAAGGATCATCTATAAATGCATAGCGGAGATCTGTGGCAAGAAGCTATACACAGTAAAAAATAGTGTCATAAAATCAGATGAGTGAAAAGTAAATGTTGTTAGTGGGGCAGAAATTAGGAGAGTATTAACAGTCATGAGTTTCCAATAGGACTATTGAGAAGTAAAAGCACATCTATGTTTTTTTGTCAGCTTATATTTGTGAGTGGTTATAAAACATGGTGCCCCTGAGAGCAGGGTGTGGGGAACTGTGACCTAAGAGAGTGTCCATACCAGTGGGGCATCGTTTCACTGTTACATTTTAGCAGAGAAGGCATGTCTGATGTGCAGCACAGGAAGAGCTGTCCTGTAGACTGTCACCATCTCTGGCTGTCCCTGAGGATCTGCCATGGTGCTGGGAAGTGGCCACTACCTCTGATCTTCTGCTGCTTGTTTTCTCCACAGAAGTCTGAATTTTGCTCTAGGGCAGCCTTGAGTAATTCCATAGGATTTCCTTGGAAGATGGATTTTATTTCTCAGCTGGTTCAAGCAGGGAAATTGTAAAATATAAAGTGATATGGTAAAAATATTCCTTTACCCAATTAGCCAAACTGTCATTCACACCCACTCTTCTCATCAAGGAGGACAAATAGCACATGTGGGTGTATGATCTCATATGTGTGTGTGACTATGTGTGAGTGTGTGTGATCTCATGTGTGTGTGTGTGACCCCACATTTGTGAGTGTGTGTGTGTGTGTGTGTGTGTGTGATCTCACATTTATGTGTGTGTGTGTGTGATCTCGTGTGTGTGTGATCTCGTGTGTGAGAACATGCATTTGCAGCATGTTGGGGGAATATCACCTGCAGGAGCAGCAGAGGGACAAGGCAGGGCCATGAGAGGAGCACCCTGGTTGTTTGTCCATGCACTGGCCACAGACCCAGCCTCACTGTGGCAGGTGTCTCTCCAGCTCAGGGGACCCCATGCCATACACACCTGCAGGACTGGCCCAGTCTCCAGCACAGATTGTGCTGGTTCCTGTTTTCAGGTAGAAACTCTCTTCTTGTAAAATGCCACAGCTCCTGAGTCTGAAGCACAGATCTCCCAGTACTGTGCTGGTAGCTGCCCAGCAAAAGGGCTGGTTTTCTTCATTCACCTCCACATACCCTGGCCTTCTTTATTCCACTGTTTGGTACTTCCTTCACCTTGTTTTCCCTTTCATGTTTTCACTTCCTGAGGCATCCTGCCTTCCTAGCCTTCTCCAGTCTCCCTTCAGAACAGGAGTGTTTACACTCCTGTCTTGCTCTGCACTGCCCCAGGCTTCCCCCTGCTCTTCTCCAGTTTCTCCCATTCCCAGCCTGGCGGCCCCTACCAGCAGCCCTCGACCATGAGGACACAAGCTGAGATGCCCTGCTCTGAACTATTAGCCAGAGGAAAGAAAGACAGGAAAGAAACAGTAGTATCTGTGTTTTCAAAAGTCAACTTCATTTACAGACAACAAATGCAAGGAAACCCTGATGTCCCCCAAGGGACAATGCAAGAAAACCACTCCCCCCACCCCCATGCAATCCCCCAATGGAGAGTCTGGGCTGCTCTCGGGTCTTTGTGCTGCATTTCTGTACTCTAGCATGCATGGTTTCTCCCACACTGGGGTGATAAAGGGCACCCAATATGCTGGAACCATTTGAATAACCAACTGTTAATTGCTTCATCCCATAATAAGGTAGTGTGGCTCTTAGCACAGCAATAGGGTGTCTATTGAGCCTTCAGACACAGGGGTTGTAAAACTGTCTCATTGTGACCTGTAAATCCAGACTGAGCCTTTGCAAAATGATGGCACAGGTATGACAAACATGCCACTTGCTCAAGGCATACCACGAGCTCAGCAGCAGATCTGCCTGCAGCCACAGCAAGTAATGAGCATGTGGCCAAAGGCAAGTGAAGGACTATTGGTTTTATCACCAAGATAAGACTTGTGGCACTTCAAAGGGGGAATTCAGCAGAAGCAGAATATTTCTCCAGAAGGAG